GAGGACTGAGGCTTTCTCCAACGTGTGGTCATTCAAGTTTAAGTAGCGGCAGTGGCCTGAGGTTGTCTGGATGGGAGGAGGGGCTGGGGAGGGGGGCTCCGAGGGCCTCCCCCCGGCCCTTTCTGATGGACAGCAGCTTTGATCCTGGGGTCTGAGGCTCATAAATAACGTCCCAGGCACGGGTGCCCTGGGACTTCTCCAAGGGCGGCTGGCTGACAAGGCCAACTTGGGCAGGCCTCGCGGGCAGGCCTAGCCCCACTGCAGTGGGCCGTGACGGGTTTATGGCCAGCAACCAACAGTAGTTACCTCAGATTTATCACCCTTCTACGAGGGCAGGGGGAGCCGCTAAAGGCTGCCAGGGAGCCCTTAAATCACTGTGATGGGAAACACTGTCAGAGGCAGCGGCGGGCAGGCAGGTAGGAGCCACCCTGGGGGCTTGGGCTTCCTGCTGGCTCCTTGGCTTACAGTCCTTTCCAGACGGGGATTTATAGCCCTGGGGCCCAGAGGAGCCACGAAGCCCCCCAGTGGGAGACAATAGGGACCACAAGAGCTGAACGAGAACGAGGGCGCCAGTGCAGCTGGATTGGCCCAGGCAGAGCCATGAGAGGGAGCACAGGGACCCAGCACCCAACCTGCTGGCCGCAGTGCCTGTGAGAGGGCAGCCTGCCACCTTGGCCAGCACTGCCTGGGCGGTGCCACCCTCCCGGAGGCACGTCCATCTGTGAGCAAGGCTGTTTGCGGCAACCCTCTGTGTGCAGATACCTGTGCCCTTTCTCTGGGTGTGTGTCTGTGTCGGGGTTTATATCAGCCAAAAAACGTGCATGCGTACAATGAGGCCATTTCCTATCATTCTCGAGCACCGGGCTGGAGCGTTGTGCCTATGAATTAGCATTGCACGAGTGTGCAGGTGGGGTGGAGGATGGGACATCATCAAAGGCGGTGGGTTCTGGGTCCTTGTCCACGCCCACCTACTGGGTGAGTCTGCAAATACAAGAATACAAGAGAGAGGACACTAGGAGGACAGGGAGAAGAGCTGGTGGGGTTTAATAGAAGGGCAACTGCAGATGCAAGGAATGGGAGGAAAGGGAAAGTGGGCAGGGGTGGGTGGAAAGAGACAGAAGGATTAGAGAAAGAGCTCAAAGGAAGTGCCCAGATGTCCACACTATGCAGCCAACTCGGGCCCAAACATGGTCAGAGAGAACAGGAGGGAAAGGGTGGAGAAGAAGTGCAGGAAGAAAAGCAGAAAGGACAAGGAGAGGAGGAAGGTGACCCAAGAGGGAGGAGTGGGGCGAGGCAGCCAGCGGGAGCACCATCTGCGCCGGGGGCCCGGGACCCGGCTCTGCAGCTTTCTCGTCTCAGCCGTCTCCACCAGCAACAGCTGGCTCTGCAGCTGGATCTGAGCACAGGGCAACCTGCCCTCCTGCCAGTCCCCTGCCACAGGCTGGCAGCCACCCAGGCCCAGCTCAGAGCACAAAGAGAGTGATCCAGGCTGGGGCCAAGACGGGAAGCAAGCTCGCCACCTTGGAGAGTTCACACAGAGAAGGGAGTCTCTGCCCTCGGACATACATGGGCTGATGCCGGCATGCATGTGCAGCACCCTTGCAAGGCCCAACCGCCAGCCAACACACAAGTGTGTGCACCCACGTGTCCATCTCCCTGTTTCCACGTGTCCTATGAGTGCTCGGGTCCTGACTACGATGTATCACTTAAACAGAGCAAAGTTGGTCCAGGCCACCTCTTCCTGCAGCCCCAACAATTCCTGGGCTTGGCCCTGCAAAGTCTCCCCTTTCTGTCCTTACATTTGCTGTGAGGGATCTTCTGGCTGGACTGCCTGGGCTCCAGCAGCCTGGACCCCAAAAGGCCAGGTGTGGACCCAGACACTGCAAGTGGCACAGAACCTAGAGCTCATTTCTGCAAACCTGGCTCTGCCACTATAGACCCCACCCCATGGGTGTGAGGTGTTGGGTGTCTGTGTTTGTGGGTGTGCACCTGTGGTGCATCATGTGACTCGGGGTGTCATGGGGTGCCCAGCCAGGTCGGATGCTGGGTGTGCTAAGCCAAGAGACAGTGCTCCAAGTGTGACGTGTGGACCCCTGCGTGTCAGGAAAAGTCCCTCAGGGGCCCTTTAACTACCCGCCTTCCTATCCTTCACTGGCGTCTGGCCCTTTGTGAGATCCCCTCCCTCTGAGCTTGGGCAGGACCTGTGATTTGCTTCTAACTGCAGCATCAGGCATCAGAGTCTCTGGAACCCCTGGACCTTGTAAGCTCTCTCCTTCTCCAACATCTACCAGAATTTTCATCCTGACAGACCATTCCCTGCCCCATCCTTCAGGGCTATGAGTAAAAACCATGCAGTGAGCTCTCCACACATCCCCAAATCTCTAGCCTGGGCTGTGGCTGGGCTTCCCAAGACCCCTCTGCTGCACTATGCAGCAATGGACAGCAGGGGGTGCACTTCTCTCTAAACGGCCTTCTCAGGAAGATAGGGCTTCTTGTCCACAACCTAAGCCCCTAGCACAAAGTAGGATCACCGTCGATCTTTATTCATCAAAGAATAAAGGACTTATGAAATAGCACACAAACTAGAGTGCTGTGTCTGCTTCTCTCAGAAAGACGATTTCGCCAGGGACCAGGGGACCAAGGGTGCTGGCCTGCAGTTGCAGGAAGGAGCTAGGAGGAGAGGCCAGACTTCTCTGTGGATAAGAATGCAAAGCTGGAAACCTGGATGTGGTAGCCATCCTGAGATGCCTCCTACTTGAGTAAGGTTGTTACCTTTAGGGACCTTGTGTCCTTTCATGGCAGGAGAGAGGTGCTGTGGTGAACTAAGTGGCAGAGCTACATGCCCAAGGCTGCAGTTTAAAAAGAGTGCCCCCCGCCACCATCCTTCAAGTGGTGGGGCAGAGGAGGGGACAGGGGGGTTGCTGACACAGGTTTCAATTCGCCTTTGAAATAAGGTGAAACAGGGACAGGGAAGGATCTCCAGGGCAGGCAGTCCAGGAGCTAGGGCTCTCCACACAGAGTAGGATTCTAACCCATTGCTGGAGTATGAGGGGCCGCTCTGCCCCCAGCCTCCCAATATTCCGTAATACCTGTAAGTTCATCCATTAGGGGACAAAGCCTGTCACCCCACAGTGAGAAACGCAGCATTGAGTAAAATATCCCTGGGAGGGGGAACAGACGGAAGCAAGTCCTTGCTCAGTTCCATGTGGTGGTGCATCCTCTCCCAGGCTCAGCTTTTGTGGGGAGGGTCAGGCGCAGGGCCCCCCTGGGAAGGGTGGAGTCAGTAGTGAGAGGCAATCACGGGCACAGAAGGGCGGAACAACTCTCCTTCCCCCCATTTTGGGCCTGGAGTCACCCTCCCCTGCAACGTCGGGAACAAGCAGTGGAGGTAGCTGCTCCCAGCAAGCCCTGACACTCCCGCTAACCAGAGACAACAAAGGCTTCCCCATCCCTTGTGCCAGCTTCTCTCTCAGCAAAAGGAATAAAACGGCCCACTTATTTTTATCACTCACAGATTTCCCGGGAAATGGGCTATTAGTTTCCCTAATGTAAAAATAATAGGGTCGTCCCCCTTGGTAGATGGCACAGCCCCAGCACGAACACACTCGAAGACCCGTCAGGAGGTCTCTCCTGTGGAGGCCGGGGGACCTGAGAGCAGGACCAGCCCCAATGGAGGCAGAGACACGGTTTCAGGAGTCTCTCCCTGCCACTGCCACTGCCCCACCCCGCTCTTCACTGTAGAGTCTTCACGCCTTACCCTCACAAACACCTGGGGGGGAGTAAATACTATTATAACGCGCCCCAGTTAATAGGATGCGGGGCCCCATAGGCCAAGGACAGGATGCCTCCCAGGGACCTGGGCGCTGCTTGTTCCTTTCTAGACTGTGTCTTCATCCTCTTCCTTCTATCTCCATCCCCCAGGATGGACCGACCACGGTCACAGCACTTCTGGGACTTCGGGGGACCAGGCTCTCAGTGAGTTCCCTGCCCCCTCACACACGGGGTGTAGGGGCTCCTCAGCCCTTGGCAAGGGCCATTCTCTCACACCGAGAACAGAGAAGGGGGCCTGGCTTTCCTGTGGTCTATGGGCACTGGCCCCTCCACGCTGAGCCCAGGGCCCTGCAAGGCTGCAGCTGGCGCCTGGGCATTTAGTCACGCAGGCTGTACTCTGGTTTTATGTTGCTGCTTTACTTGTCACATTTATGACCTCTCTCTCCATCTAGGCTGCACGCTCTGTGAGGGCAAGGATCCCAGCTGGTACCAGTTTTGCTCCCGGGAAGCCTGGGCAGTGGTGGGCGGGAAATGGGGGGTGCTCAGTGAGGCCTGGTGATTGATGAGACTTGGGGCAGGGAGAGGTTGGGGGCACGGCTCCATTCACACTGGCCACGGTAAATGTGCGACAATGCAACCGCCTTTTCTGCCTAAGCTTCCTGCTCTTCCTGGTCTGTGTGTGTCTCCCTGAGAGCTCCAGGCCTGGCACACAGTAGGTGCTCTCCCCCCACTCCTACCTCTGCTGTCCCTGCCCCTGCCCCTTAAACTGTGGAAGCACAAACAGGCAGACAGCAGGGAGAGCCTCACCCAAAGGGCAAGGGACAGCTACCTGGCACTTCTCTACCCTCGGCTGTCAGGAGGCCTTGGGGGTGGGCGCCATGGCCTGGGGATGGAAGAAAGGAACTCACATTATCTGTCTTTCTGTCCCCAAGGAGAAAGAGGGTCTGTTTAGAGCCACGGAGGTGTGCTGACAGCCTGGTTTGCTGCTGGGCGTACAGCTGCCCAGGAGGCAGTGCCCAGCCTACAAGGGGGAAGCAGCCTTTGAGCGCCCCCTTTCAGGCTGCCCATGGGGCGATCAGAGCCCCTTCTAGGGGATGGTGATGGGGAGGGGATCATTCTGTGTTTCAGAGGGGAAACCACAGGCCCAAGAGAGGAGAGAGGGGTCCAAAATCCCTCCAGTTACTTTGAAATTTCAGAAAGGGGTGGAGATGCATGTACATCAGCAGGAACTAGTGGGGAGTCGCCAGGCAGCAGGATGAGGCTGGGCGAATTTGAGCGCGCAAACGAGTAGCATGGCCGGTTTGCTGCTTGGCCTCCTCCTCTTCCTCCTTGTCTCCGGGTCTCTGAGCCTCAGGCTCCCTCTCCCCCGTGGGCTCCGCGAGCGGCTCCTTGCTCCGGAGGTGGCGCGCCAGCCGCTCCAGCTCCCCCAGGCTTGCCCTCCGCAGACGTTCCTTGTGCTCCCGCCTCAGCAGGTGCAGCACTGCCTCGGTGTCCGGGGCCCAAAGTGCTTGGCTAGGACCTGGCCCCGGTGGTGCCACCGGCGCTGGGGCTGGTGGGCCTCCTCGGGCGCCGTCTTCTTCAGGGGCCGCACAGTGACACTGATGGAGGCAGTGGGCCCAACGCAGTAGTCGGAGAGATGCTTGTCATCCGCCAGAAGCTGGCCGCGGAAGAGCAGGTGCTGCAGCTCCTCGGGCACCCGCAGCCGCTCAGACACCAGCTTCTTCAGCATGGCCACGCTCTCTCGCCCCGACACCTTCAGGCTACATCTCCGGCCCAGGAGCTGCTTGACCGCGAGGAACATCGGGCCGACGGCGGAATCAGGAGGGATTCATGCTCCAGCGGCTGCCCTGAGGGTTAAGGGTCTCTGCAGGAGAAGGTGGCTTCTCCTTATCAATGGAGGGCGGTGGTCCCAGGAGGGCCCGGCCCAGGAAGACAACCATTGGCCAATGCACGGTGATGTCACAATGCTGCCTGCCAGAAGGCTCATTTGCAGAGCGGGATGTCAGGGAAGTCAGAGGGGCATTTGGGACACAGAACATCCTTCCTCCATGAGAGGAGAACGGAGGAGAGAAGAGGAGAAAAGGAGGGTCAGGAAAGAAAACATAGGGCTAGGAGAAAGGAGAGCAGGAGGGGGAATGGGAGGGCCCAAAGGACAGGGTGGCAGAAGGAAACATGTCCATATTGACTCATTCAGCACTATATATTGGGTGCCCTTTCTGCCGGACCTGTTCCTGGGGAGAGATCGTATCACAATAGATACTTTCTGCCCTAATTTATCAAGTGTTTTTCTATCAAGCACTTGACATGCTCTCTTGGATCGGGTTTCCCAGACACAAAGACAGGGATTCCCGTGCATGTATTTAGTTGGCAGGTGACCCCAGGATGCGCCAGTAGGTTGGCGAGAAAGCAAGTCGATGGGGGGTTGGGCAGCCCCCACTGCATCAGTGAGCAGATTGCCTTTGCGGTCACCTGGGAGCCCTCAGTCCCGCCAGGCGCTCTGGGAGGCCTCGTGGAATACACCTGCCATGCTGCCGGGGAAGCAAAGAGGCTGGATCCATGTGTTCTCGGTCCTGCCTTTGGTCAGTGGGGTACTAACTCCTTGGCACTTGTGGTCTGAATGCGTGCAGAGCAGGCTCCCATGACCAGAGAAGACCCTTGGGCAGAGACTTGCAGGTGCTGGCAGCACCTTCAGCTCTCCCCATTCCCCCCCATCCCCCACTCAAAAATAATTCTCTCTTGTCCCAGTTAAAACCTACTCATCCAAAAGAATGGGACACCCCGAGGGAGATGCCAGGACAAATAAGTAGCTGTGAAGCTAGACATAGCTTTCAAGCTAGTAGCTATGAAACAAGACAAAACGCTAGAACTTTAAAAATCCCTCATGACCTTTGAATTCCAAAGTCAACTAACCCCACCCCGGCCCAGCCCCTTTTGCTGAAATGAATCCACCAGAGCCCATCTTAAAGAACGGGAGCACTGAGGGGCTCAGGCTGGGACACCAGCAGGGTCCGCAGCACGGGCATGGCCTTAGCCACCCCTCCCAACCTCCGGGGCGGGTACGGTCCTTTCCTCCACCTGCCAGAGGAGACAATGGGGCTGGGCTCACACGGTCAGCAGGCAGCAGAGCTCACATCTTTGCCACTACTGAGTCCTGCCTCCCGCAGAGCCTGCTCAGTGCCCTCTGTGTGCCAGGCACGGCGCAGGCGCCCAGGGCTCCAAGGCCAGTAAGGAAGGGGCATGACGGGGCCTCCGCAGTGTCAGCCACTGCTGCTGCCTTGGGAGTTTTCAGTTCAACTTTTAGCTCTCCTGGGCCAAGCCCTTTGTAACTGCTGGCACATTTCAGCGCGTGAGGAAGGTGATCACCTCATTTTGGAAATGAGTGAGCGTGAAGGCCTGGCTGATGTCCACAGCTGGTGGTGGGATACTGTCAGGGACGCCTTCACCTCCCCCCAGCCCTCCATGCTCCAGGGCTGCGCTCAGCAAGCACCTACTTCTTTCCTCGCCTCCTCTCTCCCTCCTCCTTTCCTTCCTTTTGCTCCAGCCTGGGCTACACTTGATTGACACTGTTGCCAACGTCCCTGGACTTTCCAGGCTTTGCCCTTCCATAGCCCTGGGCCGATTCCCCGCCCTGGTCACTCCTGCCCAAGGCTCTGGCAGCCTTGGGCAGCGGAAGAAAACACGCACGGAGGCCACAAACTCAGCAGCCCTCCCCTCTCCTCCTAACCCCATGTTCTCACTCCTGGCAGGTGACCAAATTCTAGTCCATAAACAAACTAAGCTCAAAAGTCAGGAATCTCCCCCAAGAATGAATGGCCCCAAGGGGGTGGGACTGGAAGGAGGAGATGTACTATGAGTTCCGAGCCACAGGCTGGAGGACGGTGACAGTCTGAACTGGGTTGGGGTCAGTGGAGATGCAGAGGAGGGGTGGACAGAAAAAATAAGAGGGCTCCTTTGGTCGGGGAGAGGAGGCGAGGAGGGAGGCAGGGAAGGGGCAGCTGACTGAGTGGCACTCCTGCGAGTGGCACCATCAGGTTTCATCCTTTTGCTTTTGGAATCAAAACTAGCTCCTCAGCCTGGCATCCCAGGGCGTCACGACCTGGCTCTGCTTCCACCCAGCCTTCCTCACACTGCATCCTCCACTCCAGCCACATCAACCCGCCTTTGCTTCAACTTGCCTGTTTCATTTGAACTCTTCAACTCATCCTTCAAAACGCTGGTTAAAAACTCCTTCCTCATAAGGAAGCAGATGTAGAGAATGGACTTGAGGACACAGGAGGGGGAAGGGTAAGCTGGGACGAAGTGAGAGAGTGGCATGGACGTATATACACTACCAAATGTAAAATAGCTAGCTAGTGGGAAGCAGCCGCATAGCACAGGGAGGTCAGCTCGGTGCTTTGTGCCCACCTAGAGGGGTGGGATAGGGAGGGTGGGAGGGAGGGAGACGCAAGAGGGAGGAGATATGGGGATATACGTATATGTATAGCTGATTCACTTTGTTATACAGCAGAAACTAACACACCATTGTAAAGCAATTATACTCTAGTAAAGATGTTAAAAAAAAAAAAAAAACCTACCTCCTCCATGAAGACTTCCCTGCTTTCCCCAGTCCTGGGTGGAAGTAATCCCACTTCTCTCTGTGCAACAATTACTGGCCTTGAATGCTCCCCGTATTGATGCACCTATATGTGTCTGTGTCTCCCTCAGTGACTCGCAGGGGCAGGAAGAGGCTTCATCTGTCTTTGTATCCCCTGCCTCCAGCACACAGAGCCTGGTACACAGAAGGTCTCGCATGCATGTTTGCTGAATGAAGACAAAATTTAGACAGGCCGAGCCATGCAGGAGGATGCAGTGTCCAGTACAGCAGGCTGTGGAAGGCTATGAACCTGCCTGCAGCCTCTCCTTCTTCCCTAGAGAGACGACAATCTGAAATTACATAGAAAAGAAATCAGAAAGTGATTCCAGTCTTTACCCAAGGATCTTCTATAGTATTCTTTAAATAGCCTCCTCCCTTGGTGCATTTGGAATAAGATAGAATTTGCAGATGTACATACAGTGTGTGATGGCCCCCATGGACTCCGTGATGGCAGAGCGTCTGTCTGTGCTGAGGGAGCAAAGGGTGGATGAGGTTTCTCCTCGGCCATCTGGGAGTTCCCAGCCCCCGGATGGGAGGACCCTGTGGTGGACAAACCATGGGATGGACAGGATCGGAGGGAGGGGAGCTTCGGTGGGAGTCACCCTGAGCACAGCTAACATAGGAAGGCTTCCTGGGGGCCAAGGTTTGAGTCGTCTTCTGCAGGAGATGAAAGGAAGGTGAACTGGGGAGGGGAGTGGCCTGCAATCTCTCTCCCAGGCTATGGGACATCTCAGGAAAGTGACAGGGGCCAGAGTCCTGAGCTTGGAGGAAGATGAGAACCGGCCACCTGCCTCAGCCTGCCCTCCTAGATGCATCTGCCCGGGACACTGGCAGCCACTGGGGGAAAAATGTTGGGGCCTGGGCCTCTAGAAGCAGGTAAGACTACAGCTCAGGCTCCATCTCCCCAAGGCTAGTGGCCACTTGCAGGCTGGCACCTCTGCGACAGGGGTTTCAAGGGCCACAGATGCTGGGTCACACTTTCCAAATCAGGCTTCCTGGTCTGGAGAGTCTCAGTGTGTTAGTGGGCCATGAGGACAGAAGCTTTAGAATTAGCAGTGTCCCCGGAAGCTGAGAGATGGTCACCACTGACTTCTGCGTTTGAGCCCCCCTTGCCCAAGGGGGACAGTGGAGGCACGTTGCTGGGCCCTCAAATTGTATTTGGAGCTTGGAAATTTCATAATTTTTTCCCGTGCAATTGCTTGTCTTCATTATGCAGTTAGCATGAGAAAATGTAGTTGTGCAATCAGAACAGGCAATCAGACAATGATTGCCATAATTAGGGGGGAAGATTAATGGGAATGAGTGGGTTTTGCGACTTGAGGGAAAGGAACAAATGTGTACAGAGAGAACGCTGGTCAGTGGTGGGTCCCAACCCCTCTCACAAACAACTATAAATGCAATTGTGTCACTGTGAAACCAGCACAAAGTCTGCAAGAGGGGAAGAGTGGGCAGGAGGAGGGTGCTTTGGGACAGGTCTGTGAACCCTTACATGCCTGGAGCCCTTGGCAGGACTCCTGGACATTGGTACCCAAAGGGCTTGAACTCTGTAGGATAAGAGCCAAGGGTCCAGCTGCCAAGCTGGGGCCGCCTTGAGCAGCCTGCTCCTTGCGTCTCATTTGTGTCCCCTGTCTAACACCTCCCCTCTCTTGTAGAGGTCACAAGAGGCAGGTCATGCCCCCAGGACCTTAGCACAGTGTCTGACCCATAAAGACATTCAGTGTGTATTTATAAAAACTTGGAAATGTGAGCTCTCACCCCCAACTGTCAAGGAAGACCCCGTGGCATGAAGATACATGCCCAAGTGTGATTCCCCACAGGTGGGCCGAGCTCTCCTGCTGGCACAGGTAGGCGGACAGAGCAGCCTCTGGAGACCTAGCAGGCCAAGGGAGGAAGGGGCAGAGAGATGCTGGCTGACAGCTGGTGGCAGGGGTGCCCTGCAAAAGGCTCATGAAAAAGGTATGCTATGCTTCTGCCCACCTCACTCCCTGGGCAAGTTATCAAGTTATTATTACACTTTAATAATGTCAAACTGACCTTCCAGGGGAGGCGGGGGTGGGGGGGCGGGGGAAAGGCTGAGTGGAGGGGGACTAAGAGACGCTGAGAAACGGGGATGGAGACAAAGCGAGCAGAAGAAAGACAGATGGAGCCACAGAAACAGCGGAGAGGGG